TCTAATCTCACAAACTAACAATGTAAGTGCTTTCGTTGTTCTCATTCATATATTAGGAAATAGAGATGCATTAAGAAACTGAAGCTTTAAGAAACTGAGTAAATTACTCAGGGTTGGAGATTGGATAAATGGTAGAACTAAGATTTGAACCAACTGGTCTCCAGAATTTGTTCCCTATTAGTTTCCAATGAGTTTTCTCTCTTAACCATTAAATTCTACAACCCCCTATCAATCATAGAAGGGCATTATTGTTACACCATTTTATAAACCAAGGATGCTCATTAACCCTCCCAAGGTCGCAGACATCATTCAATCCAAGCTGACCAGACTTTAAAAACCTAGGTTCTTTCTTTCTTTCCCATTATACAACTTCTCACTTATGGCCCATGGTTAAAAGCTACCCCTTAGTCTCCCTGAGATAGTTTACATCTGTGGACTTGAGGCTAAGAGAAAGTGATAAGAGTGGCAATGTGTCAGCACAACACCATCCACAGCTTCAGAAAGACATTCAAAGTACATACTCTCATTGTGGTGGTGCCAACTTTATAAAATCATACAAGCCAGTTTATTGAAATTCCACTTAGGAATGTTGTGGGTCCATGTTGGACTTTCTTCCAAAGTTACAATGGCTGGGATGTTAAGTTCTGATATTCATTGGCTTACCCTGGTCTTGTAATGAATAAGGAAGCTCCAAGAGAGCAGGGAATATGGTCATGTCAATCTTTCCTGAGAGTGGGGATTCAGAGAGTGGGGTGGTAGGTTTGTTTTCTTCTGTTAGTGTTAAGCCAATATCCCAGGTTTCTGATTGCTCGTTATCCTAAAACACAGCCAAAAAAAAAAAAAAATCAACACAGCCTCAGTCTCTGATAACTCGAAATTATGCAGACCAAAGTAATTTTGAAGTATATGTGGGTGTGTCAGTTTTTTTAGTAGTAATAAGTACTTATAAGATGTAGGCTGGAACTCTGGACTCCATCTAAAGGGAGAGAGTGGTCTTTATGGGCTATACTCACCCACTTAGTAGGCGTAAAAAAGGCAAAAGAAAATCAAGGTTTGGAAACATGAAATGGACAGAAGCAAAAGTAGTCTTAATAAATCCAATTCCAAGAAATGGTTACAGCCTATGAAGACAGAAAGTTGATACCCAATGTCACTGGAGACTGGGAACCAAAATCAGTTTCCTCAGTTCTAAAAGATGTGTCTTCTTAGTTTGGCAAAGGGAAAATACATTCAAGGGCATTCACGTTATAAGTGAAGGGTCTTAAGGGGGGAAATGCTAATATGAATATACCACCAAATTGCTATTTATGAAGGTGAAGTTCAGGGCTCCGTGTCTGACCATCATTCTTCCCTTGCACTGTAACTACAGGCTTGATTAAACTATCTGATATGCCCCCTACCTAAAAAGTGTAGTCATCCTGCATCCATGCATGTAAACACACACACACACACCCCATTACCTTTCTTCTAGCTAATATCCTTTGGGTCTTAGCTTAGATGTTATTTCCCCCAGGAAGCCTACTATAATATCCCCAAACCCAATAAGATACCATCTCTAACAGCCTAAACAGCTGCAATCTGGGTCACTCTGTACAGAATGGCCTCTCTACCTGTCTGTTTCTTCCATTAAGACTCAAAGTTCCTTGATGGCAAGAACTTGCTGTCTTGATCATTACTGTATCCTTAGGGGGTAGCACAGTGCCCACAAAGTATTTAGGTGTTCTGTATAAATTTGCTGAACGAACACACAGATTTTGCAGTTTAGGGAGCAAGTCCTGTTGCCATCAAGGTTCCAAGATGTGTTCTTTCCTGAAACAGACTGGCTAAAATAAAAGGAGTGCCGATTATATCAAAGAGCTGTTAGGTTGGCTCTGCGGTTAGTATTGCTTGCCTATCATGGTAACGGGAATGCTGGTCACAATGAGTCTGTTGACCCTCTTACTGAACAGCTACTTGCACCATCTCTTTCTCCCTGCTGATCAAAACCTGCCTCCCCATCCAGAGGCAGAAAATGCCAAATATTCTCTCAGGCTCCCTTGAAGCTATGTGACCCAACTGTAGACAAGGAAAGGTAAGGGGGGTTCTACTTGGGTTTCTACTAAATATTTTTTACCTTCCAAAAAGGGATTCTGGAAACTCTCCTCTTCCTTCTTGCTGCTGGAAGACATGAAGTAGCTCTCTTTAGACTGAGGTGACAAGCCTGAGAATTAAAGTTGGTATGTCAAGAAAAAAAAAGCCAGTGACATCCTGGAATGGTTGTGGGAAAGCTGACTTTGTCACCTTAGGATTTACTGCTATGTGGGATTGTTAGTGTCTTTAGCATTTGGACCCCTGTTGATCAGGAATATTTTGTTACTTACAGGTGAACACAGTCTAACTAATCATGTAAGAAACATGCAAATTCCTCTGTGGCATCATGATATTCCAAAGCCAGTATAAGCCAGCAGGTGGGGTTAGGATACGCAGGAGCCAAAATCATTATTGCAAGAACTAAAGACATGAAAGGATCATCTACTGATGAAATCTTTTGGCTAAAGATGAAATCCACGTGCTCCTATTAAAGAAGGACAGTGTATCCGCCTACACTGGAGAAGCACGAGAGGGTAAATCAGAGAAGGACATTCACAAGCATATTCCTTCTTCACGTCTTTGTTCAGAATTGGCTCATGAAACAATTTTACAGATAACTACCTGCCTAGGAAAAGCTCAGTTGCCCTAGTAGCAAAAAATGTTCAAAAACCCTATGTATCTTCCAGCAATAAATCTTTGGAGGGCCAGAAGGAACCGATGAAGGGGACCCCTTGTGTTTGGGTGGTACTTACAGACGCCATTCACATCACTTCCCAGCCTGACCTACATGGAATCCAGCACCATTCCTTCCTTCTCTTAGGAAAAAAAGTCATCATTTGTCTGCATCCCTTCTCAACAGAACATACTTTCCCAATGGTACTTATTAATTTATTATTAAATATGATATTGCATATTTGCAATTTTACATAATACTCATCGAAAAATATAGAGGGATCATTCGGTACTTTCTGAGAAAATCACAGCATCCTTCAAACCAGAGTGGACAGATGACAACAAACAGAACACAGACACTTTGACACGAGACACAATATCTTCTGCAGATGCCTTCTCCCACCAACCACCCTCATTTTTCCCCATGTTCTCCAGCAATTTCAGGAGCTTTCACCACACAGTTTAGCTCCAATGAACCACTCCCAGCAGCAGGCTACAAACACAGCTGGGATGTAGGTTTGTATATTCACAGGTCCGTTCTGCCTCTTTGTGGTGTTGCCTAATGCAGGAGTGAATAGCTATGGTTTCTATCATGCAGGATCTGGTCTTATTTTCCCATACAAACCACAGAAATGGAACTGCGTGGGTTGGAAGAGACGGCAGCGAGTGAGCAAACAGGTTTCTGTGGGTTATTTGCGGCCAGGAGTACTAGTGGACCGAGGGCAGGTGCAGAAGGCTCAGCACCAGGGCAATGCCGTGTCTGGCTTGGCACAGTTGCAAGTAACCGACAGGGAATCACACGCCCACTGGAGAGCTTCAGTGGGAGGCATGGAGGTAGTGAAAAATAATTCAAAAGCTCCTCTGAATCATGAGAAATACTTTTTAAAATCTGATCATCCATCCTAATGTCATTTATCTGCCTAAGGTCAACTACGTACAGAATTTCCTGCTCCTGGAAGCCTCCGAACTGTTAACACTAAACACTGTGCGTCCTTAGGGAAAACGATCACTACTCTTTGGAATCCCGATGAGCTAATTCTCCAGCAGTGAACTCCCACAGAACCAGAACCCTGGTCCTTCAAAGAGTGTCCCAGGTTCATTCCAATGTGATATAGCGTGTTTAGTCGTACATAAGTGAACGCTAGGATTATTGTTCCTAGTATTATTACTATTTTCAAGCCTTAAAGTTTGTTTTTGAAATAAAGGGTTATTTTTTCCCCCTAAAATGTGAAAGCTTTCATGTACATAAAAAAGCGTGACTTGGCTTTTGGAAATTTACTTGGTAGCCTGGGAGCTAGCTCCTCGTTAACTTGGATAATTTCAAATGGAATTGTTATCTTCTGAGCAATCAACGTCAAACTGTCATATCTCATTCTTGCAGACACTGGGCTGGGTATTTCACAGTGCCCCCAAATAACTACGAAAACAGCTTTTTCCAAATGGTCTGGAGCCTCTTTCCCCCAAAATTAAAGCACCCAACCCAGATTATATTTAAGATAGGACTCGGAGATTACTGCTTTTTAAATGTCTTCCAGAATTTATATACTGAATTTATATACTGAATTTTCTCCTTCAAAATAGTCCCCTTTGGACACTTACACATTCATCCCAAATATGATCACAATAATTGTCAAGGCCAGGCACCAGTACAATCCTGGATATGTAGGTCTTAATAAATATTCTGTGATTGAACGAGTCCATGAGTAAGTGGGTGATAAAAGAACAGATAAATGAATTTAGAGCTTGCCCTTCGAGGACCCCCTTCCAATCCAGTAACACTTTTGTTTTAAATATCTAGACTAATGGTAAAGCCTGTGTTTTGGGCGTGAATGTGATTAGTGAAAACAGTCAAAATCCCTTAGAACTGGTCTTGGGAATAGGAGACACAATTCGGGGGGATAAGGGCAGTTAGGGAACACAAGGCATGATCAAAATATTACAGGACTTCCTTGTGATTGGCCCCAGAAGGCGGTGCCAGAAATAATTTACCAGCATTAACAGCTCTGGATCAGGTACACTGACTCCGGGGTAATGGCTTTGAGAGGCTCTGCTCAAGATAGAATAGTCGGCATGCTAATCTCCACACTAATTTTCTCTAATTGGGCGTATACATTTCTGGTCAGTGTTTATATAATATACATTTAAGTGTGATGGGGGCAGGGGGTGGGGGGAGGTCCTGGAGCCTTTGTTAATCTCAAATCCGTAAAACTTCGTTGTTCCCATCTGCAAAAGAAAGAATCAAAGTCCACAATCTCTTTAAACTTTGCCAGCACTAACATTCAATAATTCTATACATAAATAGGTGTACCGTGGTTCACACACCTCCAAGAACTCTCACTCACTCATTTTCCAGAGGCTTCATATTGAGGGGACGTGTTCCTTCAAATAGCCGCAGGGCCCTGATATCATGCATTAGGGTCTAGACCATCAGGGGTGTGAAGCTCCTAGAGCAAGGCGAATGGGACCCACATACACACACACCCCTCTCTCCCACTCGCAGTAAACTATCTGTCCCCCAACAGGGACAATTATCGAAGTCATCATCACAGTTTACATTCATGTGAAATAATTTTTATAAATTACAGAGTGTGGCTGCCCTTTCAATGAACTATCAACTCTTCATTAAGTAGTTACTACTTCAAAGGTGGAGGAAGTGCTTTCAAATGGAAGGATGACTGCCGGCTTGAGAAAGTCCTGCTTCCGATTGTGTCCGAAGTATCTTATTCTGTAGGTTCCAGGCTGGGCAGTGTCTGGAATATGCCATTGGATGATGGCATTGCTGTGACCCTGCAGTCCCTTGTGCCAATAGAAACTGTTGGTAGAAAACAAACAAGCCAGCCAAGTTTTACTCTTAAAAATGTGTGATTAGAAAAATGAATGAGTATTCAGGGAGTACCTACCCTAACCAAAGCACTATCCTGGATATTGGGAGTGCAGCAATGAACAAAACAGGCACAAATAATATTCACTTTCTAGAAGAGATCCTTTAGGAAATAGCCATTTGTAGAAATAGTTTTACTTGTTCTACCTTTCTAACTACCTAAACACTATCCACCCCGGGGAGCCTCCCTCACCTGATACTCAGAATACAGGATGTCTCTTGCATGGGAAATGCTAGAACACTCCTTTTGCCCATCCTCTGTGTTGACTGATACTGAAACTCCCAACTAGATTCATTTGTTAAAAGTATATATTTAATGAGTGCCCGTGCCAGACTCCATCCTAGAGGTCTGAGGTTACGGTAGTGAGCAAGACAGACATGGCCCAAGGTTCCATGGAGCGTATAACCCCTCTGGGGCAGGGCGGGAAGAAAGGTAATAAACAAGAAATCGACAAATCATCTTAAAAGTGCTAAGTGACATGAACCAAGTAAGGCAGAGGTATCTCTAGGGAGATGTTATTTAAATGGAACCCACACATGCTCAGAGGAAAGATTTCCTGAAAGAAGGAACAGAGATGCAAAGTGGCTTCAGTGGGAGAGCACAAGGTGCAGTGGAGGAATAGAATGTTCTGGTAGGAACAGACCCGGGTGGGGTGTGGCACAGTGCTTGAGCTTACAGAAACAGTCAGCTCACATCGGTGCTTGCAGACAACCACAAGGAGTTCAGATACTCTGCTAGGTAAGTGAGATACAATGGGCTAACTGACTGATGTCCCCACTGGTGTAGAGAGACAGTGCTCTGGGCAGAGAGGGTATTCTCAACAATCTGTGTTTTTCAAGGATGGGCCCAGTGCTCGCATGACAGAGATATTCCTGCTGGTGAACAGGATGGAGGCCTATCCATGTCCTCCGTGTTCACTGCTATTCTAATTTGGGGCTTAAAAAAAAAATCATCGTTTTTTATCATCTGTATAATCTTGTTTTAATAATAAATATAAATTTATTATTTCTTTCAAAATGACCTATGCCCTAGAGTCCTAAAGATCAGAGGAAAATGTATGCCCATATTTATGTGTGATTATCAAAGGGGCCACAGTATGGTCAAACTTCGATTTTCGGTTAGCCATGGGAAGCAAACCGACACGCAACCCATCACTTAGTTTAAGACGATCCAAGTTAGACACAAATTGGCAAAACCTTTGCCCACTTGTTGTGCAGTGTGAAATGGTATACACTCGGGAGCAGAAACATTTTCTTATTTTGGACACATTTTCAAATCTTCCAAATAATGCTTTTGGTTCAAATCAAGAATCATCAACGTGTACACGTACGATATGTTTTGCGTATAGACTCGTGATTTTCCCAGAAGGACTATCAGGCTCTATAGAGCGATAGCAATACCTCCAGACCAGTATGCCTTTCAGCCAGTTTGCAGGAAGGCTAGCCAGTCTTTAGGGGTAATGTCTGCGGCCATAGAGAAAAGCAAAACTAACAGATGTTTACAAAAATGGAGGCCATAACCTCATTAGCACCTAATCTTCCAGAAGCGCACACCACACTGTTTTGCAGAAAAACAGAATCAAAATGAAGTCTAATAAATCAACTAAATATGGCCAGAAGTCTCCTTGGGAATTTGCTATCATTAATATCATGCATTGAGCCAGGCTTCCCATTTGTCTTCCCTGCATTACTAGCCAACTGTTGTCAAGGCTTGAAAGACAAAATATCCAACAGACATGCTCACCGAGTCTCCCAGGAGGCATCATTATGCACTATTTGCCATGTTGCTGATGCAGCTTCGTATTTCTCAACAGTGAGGAAGGTCTGATGGGTCTGAAATGCAATTAATATAACTGATGAGACCCTGCACAGTCATAGAAGGAACTTGTCTGCAAATACGTCCCTTGTGGACTGTAGGCCAACCTGTCAATACCTTGTGTGAAAATATATTAGAATTTCATCCAAATTCTTAGGTGCTTCTCTTTACATTCTAGGCAATGTCTTCAGAACGCTAATTTATCCAGGCTGTTACACATCATGACCTTTTTTTTTTTTTTTTTAGAAAACTGAATGATCATAATTTTAGAGCTGATAGCAAATTTTACAAACGGGGGAGGTGAAGAGATAGAATAAAACTTGAGATATTTAAAAAGGTGTAAGTCAAACCTTTCCATGACATGTTTAATTGATCTATATTCCAAGACTTTCTCTAGTCACCTCAAGACTTGGGAGGGAAAATGGGAGAGTTTCTTCATCTTTCCTTCTCTGGGTAAATATACCTTCCGAGTGAAAGAATTGAAAAGGATGCATAAATCTTCCCTGTCTCTAGGGTGCTAAAAGCAATCCCTATATTTTGTCATAATGGATTCCTAGAAAGCACATCAAAAGCAGGTTTTATTTTTCCCATTGGAAAATTGCTATAATAATTCAATTCAGACTAAGAATTCCATGTCAAATAAAGCACAGATTTGAATAATATAACAAATTAAAAGACAGAGTCCATAAATCTCCAATTTTCCTCAAAAATCTTTTAAGATTTTATTTATTTATTTGAGAGAGAGAGAATGAGAGATAGAGAGCATGAGAGGGAAGAGGGTCAGAGGGAGAAGCAGACTCCCCGCTGAGCAGGGAGCCCGACGTGGGACTCGATCCCAGGACTCCGGGATCATGACCTGAGCCGAAGGCAGTCGCTTAACCAACTGAGCCACCCAGGCGCCCTTCCTCAAAAATCTTTAGACTGTGGGCCTTTATGGGCAGGACTTGTGTCTGATTCACTTTTATCCATTACAGCCCTTTACACCTGTCACTTACAGGTGTTCAAATAAAACTTTGCTGAATGGGTCACTCACTTATACCTGGGCCATGGGATTATTTAAAACTCTACTCAACGAGGGGCACCTGGGTGGCTCAGTGGGTTAAATGTCTGCCTTCGGCTCGGGTTGTGATCCCAGGGTCCTGGGATCAAGCCCCATATCAGGCTCCCTGCTCAGCGGGAAGCTTGCTTCTCCCTCTCCCACTCCCCCTGCTTGTGTTCCTGCTGTCGTGCTCTCTCTCTCTGTCAAATAAATAATAAATAAAATCTTTTAAAAATAAATAAATAAATAAATAAAACTCTACTCAACGGATAGGTTATATTCAATAAAGTTTTCATGATGATGGTGACTTGTAAAGAGAAGGGTTTCCAGCCATTTAGGGCAGATGGAGTAGGAGATTGGGTGAACCCTCAAGGGGTCTAGAGTGTAGACCAGAGAACAAGTCTAGGCCACTGTGTTTGTGAACTATGTGACTATCCTTTCCCCCCTCCCAACCCTCATCTCTACCTGATACACAATTAGTTAACACAAGTTACTTAAGCTTTCTAGGCTTGGTTTCCTCATCTGTAAAATGGGGACAATAAAATGTAAGCCAATGGAGAGTAGGGAGAATTAAATGAGATTGATGTAATAACGTATGTAAAGCGCTTCACCTGGTGCCTGCAAAGAGTAGGTACCTTCGATAAATAGAGGTAAGGATTACGAACAATAAAAGGGAGTGGAAATTGTTGTATGCCCAGTCCCAGAGCATTGTTAGAAATCAATTCTATTCTCATTACAGGGCTTTAAGCATTTTGTTCTCCTGCTTCTGCAAGGCAATAACGATGATGGTATTTCTCCAGCCTAAGGATATCAAAGGATGGCTAATCCTGCAGTTTTGCCGTAACCCTTGATAGCTTCAGAAAACAATGCTATAAACACGCAAATATTATGGCACAGTTTGCCTAGAGAAATTATTTCCAACAGGTGCCTGTTGACTTTCCAAGCAGTAGAACATTTTTTCCCCAGGGTCATATTGGACAGTGTCATATTGCCACAATTGTATCAGAGCAATAATGATATTTCAAGGAACAGAAATGGAAGGTTCATTTGGGAGAAAGGTGTTTGGGGTTATAAGTAACAATGGTCCCCGGGAAGAACGGCTCATGGATACAGTAAATGCATCCTCACTAAAAAATCTGACCTTGAAATCACTTGTGTATACTTACTCTTTCTTCTACATATTTCTTTATTGTTTGAATTCTTATAACTAGAAATGCCTAGTTATTGCTTGTGTAGTTATAAGAACATTCTTTTTTATTTTTTGAGAGAGAGAGAGGAGGGGCCGAGGGGGAGGAAAAGAGAGAATCTTGAGCAGACTCCATGCTCAGCATGGAGCCTGATGTGGGGTTTGGTCTCATGACCCTCACGATCACGTCCAGAGCTGAAATCAAGAGTTGGATGCTTAACCGACTGAGCCACCCAGGTGCCCCCGTTGTAAGAACATTCTAAAGGAGTGACAGAGGAGTAAAATTAATTCATTTTATTAATAGCTATATTACATATGTATACTTTATATACAATCAAAACAATATATGAAATGATATATAACAAACTATGAACAATTATTACCTCTAAAAAGGTTTATGGACAGAGAGATACTTTCACATTCCACTTTAAGCACTTCTGCAATGGTCTGTTTTTACACTGAACATGTATTTCTTGTGTCATTTTTCAAGATTAATAAATAAATATCCCATTAGTGCCAGCAGTAAAGAGTCAGGAAATGGCAAAGGCAAGATAAAGTAAAGCACCTGGGCCAGGGCCCCAAGCCAGCGGAGCATCCCCCCAGGGCCCCATGATCACTCTGGAGGTAGGACCAGAGGCTACAGTGCTGGAGTAAGAGAGGAGCCAGAATTGGGGGTAGGAAGGAACCAAAGATATACTTCATTCTTGGCCCTTTGGTTATTTTACCCAGTTTAGTAGAGTTTCTAAATTGGAATACATAAATGGGATTGTATTCAAATTTGTATCTTCTCAAGGGACATGTAGCTCTCTATGCTTTGTGCAGTATGTGATCCTAAGCAGACCCGGTTAAATGTTTCCTGTGCTTTTTTCCCCCCAGACTGAATTCCACATTACTCTTCCTACTGAAAATCTCCTCACACCTAAAAAATAAGATGAAGAGCAAGTTGGAACATTTTATCATTATATCATTAACCTCTATAAGGCTATTCAAATGAAGACTAAAAAGTGGATTTAAATCTGTCAAAAGAATCATTGATGCTTACCTGGTTTTCTGCTGAATTCTTTGGGTTAGCGCCTACGAATGTAACTTCAGCAACTTCTCCCTGAAGATAAAAACTCATTTTATGAGTTTGTTCTTTGCTGTGCTCATATTTGGGCCATGATTTATGAAATGTTCTAGGATTCTGGGCACCTGTGCAGATTCTATCCTATTTAATCAAGTGACTCATCTTCTGAGACTATCAGAGAACATACTCTTGCAGAAACAGACACAGGAATTTTTGGTGGAGAAATTACTCGAGAATTTTTCGCCAGTGAATTTGCTTTTAGTACATTCAGATAGAGATGAATACAATGCATTAAAATGGTTTCTTCAGCCTCTGATATTGTCTCACGCTCCCCTCCAACACACATACAGGAAATGGACTGACTCAAATCAAAGCAGTCAAAACTTTCCGTGAATGACTTACACGTACACGGACACTTGCTTGTGTGAGATACAAAGTGGAATGACAGGGCATGTACCTACCTTCCCACCTGAAACAACTAACAAAGCTGGACAAATATGTATTAAACCATGGTTCTACAGACAGCCGAGCAATGAAAACAGTGAGCCTAGAGTGACAAAAAACAGACAAAATGAGCCCCTCAACTGCCCCAGCCTAATGCCCTCAGAGTGTGCAGTTCACAGCACAAGAAGGCAGAGGTCAAGCAAAGCCAGGCACTTGATCTACATTAAAGAATAGATGTGGGAGTCCGTGAAGGTCAAATAGCCTTACGTTCACAAGGTAGAGTAATAGAGAAAAGAGCGTACCAGAGAGAGAGCTACGTAGAGAGAGAGAACTCTGGAGATCTGTAGAAGGTTCCCCTCAACTCTGCATGCAGGGAAGAGAACCACCTGAAGCCAGGAAAAGAACGTATCAACAGAGACTGAAATTCTTACTCCCTGAAGCATCTAAGCACACACTCTGATCAATATCTGGCTGGACATTAAGTTATATAACCACAGGGGCAACACCTTGAGAGCCAGACTTAAAATCAAGGACAAAAAAATGGAGCAGACCCAATAGCCACACATTGCAAGAGAGACAGACTGTACTGATTTGGTCCAGGCTAGTTTTCAGTGAGCCAACAAACAAACAAAAACAACTTTGGGGTGGGGAGGTGAGGCTAGAATCTAGAATTACCACAATGTATCAAAACACATCCAGTATTCAATACAAAAATTATGGGATGTGCATACATGAAAATATCACTCATACTAAGGGAAAAAAGCCCAATCAAAACTGCCATTCTGAATGAATCACCGAACACTACATCAAAAACTAATGATGTGCTGTATGGGGACTAACATAACATAATAAAATAAAATAAGATTAAAAAAACAAAAAAAAATTTAAAAATTTTTAAGAAATTTAAAAAAACAAAACAAAACAAAACTGCCGTTCTGTGTCCCCGGATGTTGTAGTTAATAAACAAGGACTTCAAAGCAGTGGTTGTAAAGATGTTCTAAGAACGAATACAGTCACGTTTAAAGAATTAAAGAAAAGTCTGATGATAGTGACTTAACATATAGAGAACCTCAGTGAAGAGAAGTAATTGTTAAAAATGGATTGGGTGTTCTAGAGCCGAAAATCACAACTGACATGAGAAATTCACTAGAAGAGCTTAATAGCAAATATGAGATGATAGAAGAAAAGATAAGTGAACTAGAATTTATCAATATAAATTATATGATAATGAAGAATGGACAGGAAAAAACTGAAGAAAAATTGCTAGAACCTCAGAAACAAGCGGGACATCAAGTACACAGCAGGATTCACAAAGCAGAAGTCCTAGAATTCGAGGAAAGAGAGAAACAAACAAATGAAAAATCTTTTGGCAGAAATAAAGGATGAAAACTTTCCAAACTTGATAAACATTACCTTGCCCACCCAAGGAACTCAACAAATCCCAAGTAGGATAATCCCAGAGTGTTTCGCATTTAGATACATTGTAGCAAACTTGGGGCAGACGGAGACAAATAGAAAAAATCTTGAAAGCAGTAGGAGAAAAATGATGCATTACTTACAGGGAAACTCCAATAGATGAGCAATTGACTTCTCATTAGAGAGTGAAGAAACAAGAGTTGACAGGATAACACACTCAAAGTGATAAAAGAAAACCATTTCTCAACCAAGAATGTAGCAAAACTATTCTTCAAAGATAAAGGGAAAATAAAGCCATTGTGCTAAATAAAGCCTGAGGGGATTTGTTGTTAGCAGAGCTGTCCTACCAAAAATACTAAGGAAGTTCTTCATGCTGAAAGGAAATGAGGCTATAGGTGGTAATAATAGTTCAGATTCCTAAGAAACAATAAAGAGCACCGGAATGGTAAGTATGTAGGCTTGGTTTAAAATATGCTATGAATATACTTTTCCATATCTTCTCTTAATCTCCTTAGAAGGTGTGAGATTGTGTAAGACAATTAGCTATAACACTGTATTACTGCATTTATATATAGATGTGATGTATGTGACAACAATATCACAAAGGATGGGAAAAGAAAAATAGATATAGCAATCTTCTTATATTTTTTGGAATTATTAGTATTATATTGAAGTAGGGTGCAATTAGTTGAGATGCATATTATAGCCTTATGACATAATAAGACATATATATATA